TTATGGTATCGATACGTCTATCATGTTATTCATCATCACATATAGGTTTTTCTAACGTATTTGTTTTCGATGTCTAATTTTTTTTTTAAAAAAAATTAACTCTGCAAAATATCATCGAACAAATTGGAGTCACAGCCAATCGAGGAGCTCTGAGTTTGAGTCGAAGAACGTCAGTCAGGTCGGTGTAGTTCATCTTTATCGGAATGCCATGCCACTTCTAAACATGCCCTTAATGCCACTGAATGTGTGAGGTGTTGTATTGGCCTGAAAGAGTTAACATGATATTATGGATCATACGTTAAGATCACTTCACATTTTCTTGTCGACACAGCGTGGGGCACGGCAACAACCCCGTCGGCTGCGCGCCGCTGGGTCGGGGAGCTTCCCCACCAAGCCTCCTCATTCCAAAAGGAGTCCGGGACGTGGGGGCATGGAAGCCCCGCCGCGTTAGGCGAAGTTGGCACGCAACAACCATCGGCGACGCGTGCAGGGTGCGGACGTGGAAAGATAATTCCACCACCCGCGTCCCGACGAACCACCCCACGACAATCCCTCCACTGTCGACGCCCGGAATGCCCTCTCCCTTTCCTCTGCACCCCCCTCCCCTCGAAACCCATCCCATACCGATCCTACGGAACGAGGTGAGTCGGTCGGTCGCTCGCTCCTTCGTGTCGTCGTTGCCGCAGGAACTACTGCCGATGTGGTAGGTTATACGTCTCCTCTTCACGACCCTTCAACGAGGGATGCGGACCTGCCGGCCCCACCCACCAAACAAGACGTGGACGGGCGCTCGGCCGCACAATCCCCTCGGCTGCTGCCACGTCCACCCACGCATCCACCGACACGTCCCCCGCCCGCTTTCCCCACCACCCTTACAGCTGGCTGGCTGCCAAGATTGCGTCTCTCTCCCACTTGGCCCCACCTCCGCGTCCGCCTCGCCCTGTCTCGCCCGATCCAGGGTTCAGTCGACCTCCTCGCGGTCGACGGTGTAGACACCCTTCTTCCTCTGATCCATGTCACGACCGACGGTGCACACAGTCTCCTCCGTAACTATGTTATAAAAGTCCTTGTGGTGTCTCCTTTTTGTCATCGTTAGCAAGCAAACATGGTCACGGTTCATGGATCCTAAACTACATCGAAAGAGTATAGGGTTCTTGGAAGGGAAGAGAAGAGGGAGAGGGAGATGGATGCTCGTAAGCAACAAGCGGCTGTGAAAGGGACGTATGGAAGCTGATTTCTCCACGACAGCAGCTGCCATTGGATCGGTTGTTCCATCAAATCAATTACAAGACGGGCGTGCAATCCATCCCGCACAGGTGTAGTCGCTCCTTAGGAACAGTTCGTCTCCGAGCTTTCTACAAGAGCATTTATCCGCGGCGGACATCGAGCAGCACATCCATCCGCCCACCTCCTCTCCCTGCTGCTGCTGCTGGTGGTGGTGGTGGCTGACTGAGGGCTCAGCCTGCGAGATGATGGAGAGCGAGGAGGAGCAGTCTGCCGCGGAGGAGGGGGACTGCTGCAGCTGGATGAACCCGACGGCGGAGAGCAGCAAGGGCAAGGGTGACAGGAGGAGGACGAGGAGGAGGTTCAGCGAGGAGCAGATCAAGTCGATGGAGTCCATGTTCGAGACGCAGACGAAGCTGGAGCCCCGGCAGAAGCTGCAGCTGGCGCGGGAGCTCGGCCTGCAGCCCCGCCAGGTCGCCATATGGTTCCAGAACAAGCGGGCGCGGTGGAAGTCGAAGCAGCTCGAGCGGGAGTACCGCGGCCTCAAAGCCGACTACGATGCACTGCTCTCCAGCTTCGACTCCCTGAAGAAAGAGAAGCAGTTGCTGCTCCAGCAGGTAACCCACCGCCGCCTTCCCGTGTCACCATCATCGTCTTTTCCCGTGCTGCTTCCGTCGACCGCTCACCCATCCTCCGTCACCCGCAGCTGCAAGACCTGGCAGAACTGATAGACAAGGCAGAGGAGAGAAGCAACAGAGACGACGAGGGCTCAAACGATCGAGATTCCGAGATTAAAAAGGATCAGAGCTCGAGGCTGTCGCTGAAAGAGGAAGCAGATCTGGAGTTCGCAGTCTGCGCGGCCGAGGAGGACAAGAAGCCGAGATACTTCAGCGAGGACGAACTAAACCTGTGCGCCGGACAGCCAGCGATCTCCTCCTTGACCTCGTCGGCCGAGCAACAGTTTTGTTTGACCACCAGCTGGCCGTCGGACCAGTCGTGCAACAATTCACAGTGGTGGGAGTTTTGGCCGCTGAGCGAATGAAACCCACCACCACTGTAAAGCTACCAGCCCCCGCAGTAGCAAAGAACGAAAAAGAGAGCTGAAGCAAGCAGGAGGCTGCAGTACATAGCTCAGCAGGATATAGCTAGTGTCTGTGTCGAAACTTTTCGTCTTCCCTATGGATGATCTACAGTCGTGTACATCAGCATACTTCTATGAATAGAGTGACATGTAGTGATAATACACAGCTATTCAGTGCAATTAAGGAAGCATTTGATTCATTTCAGCACAGCCGGACCAGCACCGAGACGATCGCCTGTGTGATCCATGGAAACATACCCTAAAATACACTAGTAGGAGAAAAGGTATGCATTTGAACCATTATAGACAAAACATATTCTTTTGATCTAACCTCACCAATATTAGAAAAAATAAATCGCATTAAATCAAAAAGAGTTCAACACGCCCACCGTGGGGCTCGAACCCACGACCACAAGGTTAAGAGCCTTGCGCTCTACCGACTGAGCTAGACGGGCTGTTATTTCCTCTGCCGTACATTTACATTTCATCAAATAAATCAATTCCATTTAACATACCAATCATAATTTGTTTCATGTGCTTGAACAAACGAAGCCATCTCAACATATACAGAATAACCAAATAGAAAACCCAAGAGGCTCATAAGAGTTCCAATAAGAGCAAAAGAAACATGGATTTATTGAAGAGTGCAAAGATCATGTGACCTACAAAAGCATCAGAATTATTTTGATCGAGGAACAATCCCCCTGAGATGGTGCACTCAAGGGCTCTATTAGCAAGGATAAAGAAACAAGCGTATGGAGACAGTAGATATAAAAACCAAATAGTTAAATGGACCAAATCATGATGATAATGAAAGCTAGAATGGAACTAAAGTTTTGGCAAGTTCCAGCAGTTCTACTTGTGTACTTTGTCAATGGCAAAGCATTATGATGAATCGACAAAAGAAGACGGCATTATTGATCACCAGTAACACAAGATTCAAAAGTGACAGTTAAGCACAACTACATGCATTTGGCAGCATTTCTCTTTTGCTGTCAGATGAGGATATCGAAATATTATCATGTCACCAGTACCCAACTTTCACAATCCTCATTTCCTATTAAGAAACATGAAACAACTGGGGCTGGATGATCATCCTCCAAACCATACACACAAATTTTTGCCTCAATCAATAAGATACGCCTCGACTTCCAATCAAATTGTAAATGAACGGGGAACCAAAAAATAAGACATACGTTAAGTGCAAAATTTTGAAACACAAAAAAGATGCTTGATTGCGTCATGAACCAATTCCTACTATTTCAATGGAATTTGAATAATCGATCAAATACCGGTCTAAAGGCCTGAAAATGATGTGTAAGCATCAGAACAATGGAGTGATCGACGAGCCTGGCTACCGGCCCTTTATCAACCTGCCGTTTGCTGGAGGGGCTGTGTAGCGCAACTTGAATGGATTCATTCAACCATAAATGATTTTTCGGAAGTCTTTTTACTATTTTCTTAAGTTTTCATAATCTCCTAGAGATCAATTATAGCTGGAAAAATGTGCACATTATAGGAAAATAATTGTCACAAGAGGATGCCAAGATTAAAAGAAAGCTACGGAATTAAAAGAAAGTTTTTCGGAAGTTTTTTTACTATTTTCCGAAGTTTTCGTAATCTCCTAGAGATCAAATATAGCTGGAAAAATGTGCATAATAATTGTCACAAGACGACGCCAAGATTAAAAGAAAGTTACGGAATCAAGTAAATTTGAAACTTGATTCAGAAATCCCAAATCCTATCTCTGTACATTAATTCAGCTTTTAGCATAGCAAAATGAAGTAGCACTATGTATGAACATGAACATCAAATATCCTAAATATTATGTGATATAATTACATTAGTCAGAACATACTCATACTCGATGTTGAATTATTTAACACCATCAATTTCACGACTCTAAACATGATATCTAAATAAATAAAGTATCCACATTTTTCGTTAACTAAAAACGTGGATATTAACTTCAACCATCAATCTTTCCTTTGACTCTCTGGTTCATGGCGATCACATCTCTAGCACACTCTTGTTCCCATCACCAATTAGGCCAAAAATATCAAGGAAAGCCTAAGGGCCCTAAATTGAAGGATCAGAGACTCATTTGACCACCTCCATGGGGACCCAAACGTAGCAATCCACTGCCATTTCGAGCTCCAGCACCAAGGCGTTGCTGAGGGGAGTCAAGAAGCACGCAGTGTCGGGTTTCTATTTTCAAAATTAAGCTAATTTTCTATTTCTTTTCATGATATGTACATAGTCTGAGTTGATGATCATCTGAACCCTTCGGAGTTATGATTGCTAATATATTGAAATATCTAAAGACGATGCATCTAACGAAGTGATCAAGATGAAAAGAACCGTCGCCAGAAGCATGGAACCCTCGGTGAGAACAAGCAAATCAAGGGAAGCAAGGTCATTAAAATCGCTTCGAAGGGCAGAACGATCGAAGAGAAGAAGGGAGCTTACGCATCTAAGGCGGAAGGACGGAGAGAGCAGGGCGACGGTCGCGCCGACTCGAAGCCTCACGGAGATCGCCATCGATCTCTTCGGAGGGACGCGATCGACGCGGGCGACGGTCGGGTGGGTTTTGCGGCTTTGAGATAACCACTCTGTTCGTTCGAACCCGGTTCACAAAATATAACGGGCTGAAGTCGGGCCCGTTGGGCGAAGGCCGAGTCGACTTAAGCAGAAATAAAGCTAAAAACAAATATTAATTTCTCACCTCCTCTTCTCTAAATTGTCATACGAAATTGAAGCGACGGATACAACAATGATACAATTTATTGAGCTGGAAAATAAAAATAACACAAAAGTACCACAATATGTCACACATAATTCCTGCTTCACTTTGGCATCATTTACTACGATGATGGATACGATTAATACTCGGCTAGAGTGGATGATCAACGATCTCCGTCACGAACTCAGTGCACTGCTAATTCGAGCATCAGACTCGCACCATTTCTGCAATGAAAACGAAGGACGAGTGAACAACTGGACATGTCATTGTGCTGTACTATGGTCTCTATTACTAGTCAACAAACGCATGATATAGAAACCCAATTATTATGTGGTCCAATTTCAGATGGGCGACCCTAATAACGACATTGAAAACAACGTGTCCCCATGTACTTGTTGTCGAAAAAATAGTGATGTATTATCTAATTATTTCTTTTTGAAACAAATCAAAGTTGATAATCTAAGGAGATTAACTTTGTGGATTGCGATTATACCCGATATCATCCATATTGGTTTTAATCGATACTATTATCGCTTGCTTATGTGTTTCCCTCCTCTCTCTCTCTCTCTCTCTCTCTCTCTTTCCCTCTCTATCACGCACACACACCCCTCTCGACCTTGTCACATTTTTCCCTTTCCCTGTGTTGCCGTGGCCGTCGAGAGAAGGGAGCAGCAGGAAGTGGATCACAATGTCGCTGCTTGGTTGTCGCGGCCGAGCCAGGGAATTAGGGAAAAGGTCGTGGATCTGGCTCCGAATATATGGGGCCCGCTATAGAAGCCAACGGTAAGCACTGTTACCGTGGTCCGTGTCAAGCAAGCCGCAGCCACTGCTCAAACCCGATTCAATCTTCTGTAGAGATCCAACGCAAACCCTATTCAGTCATCTGTAATGATCCAACGTGATCATCGCTCTCCATCTCTCTATCTAGATCTGTGACTGTTCCTTATAGTTTCTGAGAGCAACTGCGAAGCCGAGAGAAGGAGATTACCAGTAGATTCTGCTCCCGGTTCCGTCGGAGACCTCTTTGTTTCTCTCCTTAGTTTGCGTGTCCGCTGATGCCATCTCCGGATGTATCTTCTTCTTCAGCATCTTCGTCATCAGCTGCCATTCACCAGTAAACAATTACTCTCACTCGCAACCTCAGGGTAATTACCACGGAACAGGAAAGCATGCATGGGAGAGCGGTGGAAAAGGTGTACCTTCTGTAGCTTCCTGTTGGGGTTGGTGATGGCTTTGGTGGTGGTCGGTGTCCGCTTCTCTTCTTTCTTATCCCTCTGCGCCTTCTTCCTCTCCGGATTGGCTTGTTGCTTGACGATATCATTGGCTCGCTTGATGTCATTCTCGGCCGGATCGTTCACCACAAAAGCGTCGGCAGCAAACAGGTCGGCGAGCGTCGTCCTTCCACGCTCCCTTTTCTCCTTGTCCTCCTTCAGTAGTGGCAGCTCCTGGATTTTCTCGGCTTCCTCTACGTCTTGCACCGCCATCTCCATCCTGTTCACCTCGGCTTCGACCGGTAGCTTGAACTTGAACGACTCGATGACAATGGCGGGCAAGGGCTCACGCGCCGCCGCCACGGCCGGTGCAGCTTCCTTTACTTCTTCCTTTTCCTCGTCCTCCACATTCTCTTCCTCCTCCTGTAGGAGTTCATCTTCCCGGGCAGGATAGGGCTGAGAAACAAAGCTGTCCTGGTGGCCCAGCGTGCCGATGGTGAGAATGCCATTGAGGACATCATGAAGCAGTAGCGCTTCCTTCTCCATCACGCCTTCGAACAACACCTCCCGTTTCTCCTCGTCGTCTTCGCCCAAAACATCTGCGAATCAAAACCAAAAGACGCCATCATCTCGTGCTCGTAACCCCATGGAAGGACCAAAGGCGAATCACCAGATCCCGGACCTCGCTTCTGCGAAACCTGGGCGTACTTGACGCTACAAGGGTGCAACTTGCGATGCATCCAGTCGAAGATCTGTGCCACGACGAAAACGAAAGAAACGACGAGCTGATCAACGTTAAGCAGCAGATATATATAATCATCAGCAAGCGCATCGGGATCGGGAACTGTCCACTTACCTTCATTGTTTCTTCTCTCGGGAACCGCGGAAGTGCCAGTGTAAAGCCCACTGCAAGCTTGGAATCTGGGTTTTGGGGAGGGGGAGGGGGCGATCCAAGTGTACGTGACGGTGGTGATGGTGTGGAAGGGGGGCCAAGATCCATACAGGGTTATAAAGAAGAGCACGTAGGAACAGTGAACTGGGGAACTCCTGCTGCGATACTACACAGGAGGTGGTCCTGCCGGTTTGGTTGGGACCGATTTGGCTCGATTGAACCGGAGAGATTCGATCAGATGGGGGGGTGTGACCCCTCGGCGCTTCGCCATGTGACGGGTGGGACCTGGTCAAAGTCCTTGGGCTCGGTCAACATGCCATGTGTCGGTGGTCCGTCCCATTGGATGTCGGCTCGGTGATCAAGCTCGACATGTTATCGGATCGAATCCTTCTGTGCCGGTTGGATCCGGATTCGCATCTCCCGTAGAAGAGAAGGCCACCCCCACCCCTCAAGGAGGAAGAACCTGATCACGGAGACGCAAAGCAGAGGCAGGCACGAAGAGGTGAAGGGGAAGATGGGTTTGGCCGGTTGTGCCACGCCCTGCATGGGGCGCAGCGAGTGGGGGAGGAGCTCGGAGAAGCACCAACTAAAAGCACAAAAGGCGGAGGACATGATCCCTGTTCCTTCTTGCCCTACAGCCTGTACTGCACTAGAGACGTTGATGATGATGATGATCGTGATGATGATGATGATGCAGATAGATAGATAGATAGAATGCAGGTAGCATGAACAGTTTAATGCAGCAATAATGAGGTTAGCGCTGATTTCGCCGTCAGGATATGAACGGATCACCAGCAGCGGCTGTTGGCGTTGGCCTCCACCCTGTCTCGCCTTCTGCATCATCAAATGCAGGAGTGATGTTGAGACTGTTTTCAGCTGCATTACTTCGAAGTTATCATCTAAATGGAATGCCAATCTTGTGACGGGGGATTCTGCCATGGGAAGCTTACAAAGGGTCACTCCATAACCATCCGTCCCATCCTTCTTGTCATCTCACCACTCCTTTCTGATTTGACTTAATCCACTCCCATTTTATCCAGATTAACAGGATGATATATATGAGCCATCATACAATTTGTGGTACGCCATTGACACGATTCGTTGAAGCGAAGCATAGACCAAGACTGTAAACTTGGGTCCCTTCGGTGCAGACTTGCTTAGGATGCTCGAAAGCGTCCAATGAGTACGTCACTACATCGCTGGTTTTGTTGGTCCGCCATTGACGACAATGGTTGGCATGAGTCAGTGCTCCATCCATTATTGCGCTGCTCGCCAGAACGAAGGCAGAATATGTTTGTTTGCTTCTCGGTAGTGTGTAGCCTTTGGCACCCCAAACAACATGATGGAAGAGCGACGCGCTCCGCCATCCACCATCAGTTTTTGCTTTCCACACTTCCCAATCCGTTCATTGATCAGTCTCTCTTTTTCTTAGATCGCATTGCCTGCTTATGGTGATCAAAACCAGCCATGTCAATTCAAAGAGAACTCTCTGTCAATTGATTTAGGGCCGTATTATGATCCCTTTTTATGAAGAAAAGCTTTTGAGATGCTGACCTGAACAACACAACAACAAGATGGTCTGCAGTATCATTCTGCTGCTTTTGTGAAGATCTACACCAATCACTAATTAATTTGTGGTTGTGCCCAGCTGATCTTTGATCACACAAACAAAAAACTAATATTTTATGGCCGTGAATCATCTTATGCTTAGTCTGACAGGTACACAGCTAAAGGGATCATCAAGAGGACAAAAAACTATCATTTTATGCTTCGTCTGTCTGACAGATACACAGCTAAATGGATCGTCAAGAGTATGTCCTCAGAGCCGAGAGATGAAGAGTCGATTCAAGGCCAGTTGGTGAACTCAAACACCTTAAAGACTATGTCGATACCAGTCGGGATCTGTGATACAAACAGTAGGACGTTCAACGTGTTGAGCGCAATGTGCAGATTCCGTGCTGCATCGTTCCCCTTCTGCATTGCCGGCACAAGTGAAGCGGCTAATGCCCACAGCGCTGTTATGCCTGCAATTAACATAATCACAGTTGTCATGGAAATCCACGGATCACAAATACCATCACAAAATCCTAAAATTTGTACCTTGGATACCGACAGAGAAGTAGAGATGTCTCCAATCAGGACTAGCAACAAAGGCCCCTCAATGTGATGAGACATGGGAACAACTTGGAGTATCTAAGAATAGGCTACTTTTGCATGATGGTCCATATTACCCATCACTACTACTGTAACATCGGACTGTTTCTGACCACACGGTGAAATCCACAGAAGGAAGCACAAGTCTTTTGTTCATCATGGAATTCATGGATGACTTTTTGCATTAACCTTGTCATAGTTGAAGCAATCTCGACTCCTTTCGGGTATTCACCTCTCTTTTCATCTTTTACATTTACAATGTGAAACCAAACTTACACATATAAGCTAAGTCTTATCACCATCTTATTTATCATTTACCTTGTTCTTCAGAACCTTACACTGACAACAAATTCAGAGACCTCATTCTTCAGAGCCCTAAACTACAACCAAGTTGCTTATCTTCGTTATATCTGGATCAATATAAAGTTCCAATGTAAGAAAGCTCTAATTTTTTGAAAAATCCCAACTGTTTTAGTGCTTCCAGTAGCTGGCATGTGTCGAAATTCCAAAACAATGGATGACGGTTTCCATTTGTTAGTGATTTGAAGAGTTCCTTACAGCTGCATCTACAAGTGCTGGGTTAAGTTTAAGCTAGATATGATCACTTAGAATCAAAAGTGCTTAGCAAAAGCAAATTGATCAGCATTCACAACAATGATAGTTAATCAAAATTAAAGATAAAAATATATTTTCGTCTGTGATGAAACTGAATGCCTTTCATTTGCAACAGTCTCCTTGAAGAAAAAAAGATCGTCTCTGGTATCTATAAATATCCTATTCCACAAGCCCCATGAAAGTGCCTAAGACTACCGCCTCAAGTTCACCATGTGCTACTGACTAAAACAATGTTGAAATTTCGATTAAGATAAAAATCAGTGTGTTTCGTTCAGTTTCGTCAAGCTCTGCTAAATCGACAAATTCTGTTATGTGATGACTAGCGAGGAAATCAATAATCTTTTCTTTTAGCTCAAGGAGTTGGGGTGAACTTGGACAGTGAAACCATTTACTGCTGGAGCATATTTGACACACTCGATTAGGTCGATCATCTGCCATACTGCATCTATCCGGATCTCCCTAAGATACATGAAACCACTGGATAGGTGGTCTGGATATTGGGAGGAGTGTGCTGCACTTGTGCTCATGAACTATACAACAGAGTATCTGAACTCAAAGTAATCTAGGTCTTGCAACAGGATTGTCCTCCCAACAAGTCATTATCTTTGACATTTTTGTTACTCTTAAAGAACTTTTCTTTTTACATTTAATGGCTACTTAAATGGTTATTTGGGATCCTATTTTTGACTCGTAGTGTCATAAGAATAAGACCGAAACTAGAGATAGATAAGTAAAAGAAATGTCAAGCAATTCCAAATCAAGTTTTGGAAATCTAAATAACTCTATAATATGGTTTCACAAGGTTATGAATTGAAGGATTTTCCAAAAAATTCAAACATATTTAAAGCATAAATAAAGGTTGTCTTTTTTTCCCTTGATACAATAGATGGCCAAATTATTGGAATAAAAAAGACCAAACTTCTCTGCTCCCCCATAGTGTAAACGAACAGCCATGGGTATGATCTCTAGATCTCACTCCTAGAAAACCAAGTCCATGCAGAATCCTTGTTTTCTTCACTTTGACCCTCTGACTTATTTCCTTCCTGAAGCATGATTGAAAAATCAATCTTTCTGTTAATTATCTATGGTAACTCAACATCAGAACAATAGCAACCCATCACTTTGTTCCTAATTTCCGAGTGTTTGTTCATTTGATGTCATACAAACTTCGAACTTGTGCAATCAGAAATTTTTTGCAACAATATTATATTAATATGGTTTTTTTTTTTAGAAAACAACATTTAAATTGATCAACTTGAACTTCATGTACATCAATTTCTTGTTGAATTATAGGACCGTAAACTGTAAACTGGTCAGATGCAGGGTCTTGAACTTGCATATCAGATGCATTCAGATCGACATCTAAAGGATCCACAGGTGAATTTCGAAATCCGTGTAACATAGAATGCATGATACAGCTACAGATCGTGAACTTTTATGTTGATATTGTCATCTACAATTTGCAAGATTGGCTATTTCGAGAAAATACATATGATTCAGAATCGATCAACATCAAAACCAAATTCCCAAACAGTTGGAAGATTGTAGAACTCTGTCCTATGGCATGGAACTTGGTTTGATTTAATCGAAATTATCTGCAGACACCGATCAGTAGCGGTCCCATTCTAGTTCTGACATCTCTGATCAGTACAGAAAATTTACTCGATCTTTTCAGGCTGTTCAAACTAAGTTTTCACCAAATATCAACTGAAATTATCTCAATTAGTTCCAAATGACTTCGATTCTAGTTGGCTTCAGTCGGCTGTTGCTGATTCCAGTCCTCTCCCAGTTAAATGTCGGTCAACTCCATAAAGAATCAGATGGTTAGAAATCTGATCTATAACTGGTTATGACAATGCAATCCTATTCAATTCAAACCTCAAACCTCATGAATCTCAATCATGTAAACCTCGGTCGAGAAGAAGAAACTAGTCACTTCCTGATACTTGAGCTTAAATTAATCACCAAGATCTGTTTACTAGACGAATTTTTTGGTGTGTTCTTAAAACATTCACTATAAAGAGAAGCTCCAAGGGAGGACAAAGTGTAAACCAGCAGATAGGGAAACAACAAAACGTAAGGAAGAAGGTGAGGGAACGCACCAGCGCCACCGAACAAGTGAGGGCCCGGGAAGAGCTGCCCTGTCCGAATCCACGTATTGAGGCATCCACCCACCGCCTCCAACACGCCGAACCCCAGCAGTATCGAGCCCGCATTGTAGTGCCGCTCCCTATATGAGCCCTTCAACAGCGCCTTCCTCTCCTAACAACGCAAACCATCCCAACGAGGATGACTAAAAATCCAATCTTCTGACTGAAAAAAGAAGACCGAGAAGTACCTCGGTTAGCTGCTGAATCTTTGCCTCCGCAGGAGTCGGAGATGCCGGAGGCGAAGCTTCGGCGTCAGATCCAGCGGCGATGGTCATGGGGGCAGCTGGGGCCGCCTGCTTGAGCTCATTGATCTCATTTTGGATGGTGCGGACCCGCCGCCACTGCCACCCCAAATACCCTGCCCATAGCGTGTAGAAGAACAGGCCGCCCATCACCACTGGGTGGACCAACGCAAAGGTCCGCCCTTCCAAGATTCCGAACTCCCCGTCCAGGGCAAGCGCGTCCTTCCAACCAGGAAAAGCCATCACTTCGACTGCGATCAAAGGATAAAGAAAGAGGCGCAAAAGCAGGGAGCTAACCTGAGGGTGGAAGAAGAGAGGAAGAGAGAAGGCGACGGCGGCGGCGGCGGGGAGGATGGAAGGGGCATCGGAGAGGAGTGGGAGGGCCGGAGAGGGCAGATGGGGGCGAGGGGCGGAGGGGAGGCGGGGCAGGCAGGGCGGCCGGGGATTAGGGAATGGCTTGAGACCAGAGGAACGGTTTCCATTACGCTTCGGAAGGAGGTTGACAAGGCCGAGGGTGGCGGTGGCAGCCATCACGATGAGGTGGAGGGCTTAGAGCTCGTCGGTAGTGATACGGGGGAGGGAGCAGGAGGTAATTGTGGAGATTTCTTGCTGCCCACGTGACATGATAAAGACAGACAACGTCGACTTTACGATAGACTCGATTTAGACGCACGCATTTCACGTGGACAACAAATAACTCTCTTTTCAAGAAAATCTCGTAATGCCACGTGTGAACCGCCCCCCCCAACCACCCCCAATCACCACCCCCAAAAAACAATAAATTAGTATGATCAAAGTAGCCTTGCACGCAATCTGATGTCCAGGTGGGCCTTCTTTGAACCAGACGTATGCACCCAAACGAGAAATATTCCGCCGGTTCGACCATGCCCTCCACATGTTTGATGGAATGCCGAGCTGGGATGGTCGTCCCGTGCTAGAGCTTCGCTGCTGTGAGGCACTCCTCCGTCGGCACGTCGCATGTCACACTGCCCGCAGCCCATACCGGAGGGTGCACGCGGAGTTGAAGTGCGATTCTCGTCAAACAGCATCACCTTTTGTTCTGCCAACCGGTATTCTGCCCATCTCCTCCTAACATTTTGTTAGTTTGGGGAAAAGAACTGTATTGGCTTCAGATTTGGGGTAAGTTGGAAGTATTTTTGTTGCTTAAACACACTTCAAATCTGAATAACAGCAGCCATTTCATAGATTCACATAAGTTGAGGGAGAAATCATGTTCACTAATTTGTATGCAATTTACATGTTTGATTAAATGCTTTTCTATCTCCACTGTTGCTTGAATGCATACTTTACTACAACACAAGGTTTTGCAGCTAAACAAACATCAAAATACTGGGCAACCTTCAATAACAACACCCTTGGCTGTCGGGCAGGAAGCCAGAGGACACCCATCCAAGTCATTTCCCGGCCAACTGAGATTGACGTTCTCCAGCCCCAAGCACAGGTACAGCAACACTCCCATGAATGCCAGCCCAGCGTCCAGAGCACCTGAGAGCACATAATTGTGCCGCTGCCACCAATCTCGCCTGTACCTGTAGACCACGTAGCCTGACAAGAAGCCGACAATGATCCATGTAATATAATTCACAGCCGTTGCCGGAGGCATGGATCCGGTGGCACCAATCAATACTGGCATGTTTATGAGACGGATCCATTCCTGGTTTGGAAAGGCCTTGTGTCCAAACCAGACGAGCACAGGTGCCAGTGCACCAGCCAGAAAGAACCAGTTGACGTTGGAGTAGGTGCCGAGGTCTCCAAATATCCGGCGTGGACCAATTAGACCCCATATGACAGAGGCATCGTAGAAGACATGGTCACCGGGGCAGGTCCATGGACTGTCTGAAGGCAGGAGCTCTTTGTTGCAGATGTCAGGAATTGTCTCCATAAGCCACCATGCAGTACCCAAATAAACCATTGCAGCAATTACAGTGCCTACAACCTATATTGATTTTCCAACACTCAGTAGTCTGTGGCAACCAAACAAAAGTTGGTTTCTACAGGTATGCCTCACTCAAAGATGTTTCAGATTTCCTAGCTGACATAATTTACTGTGCCACATAGTTTTATGTTGTCTTAGAGAGGATCTAACTTTGCTTTCACAAATATTGAGGCTTTCAAATGAACAAATATAGGTAGAGTTATTAAATTAAGCTGCATGGCTGGTGTCTTTTTCTTTTTTTTTCTGTTCCTAATTTGCAATGTAAATGTTGCTCATTTTCTTCATGTTCTTACTGTATCGGTCATATGTTGTATCTGCTTTATTAGAAGCTCATTTCCTGTGATCTTCAATTGGTGTAGGATTGTAGGAGTGGCAAGCTTATTTCCTGTTATGTAATATCTATGAGGCTATTTTCATTTGCAGAAACTGTGATTATGCATTGAGTACCATATTTTAGTTGGCTAAGAAGAAGATACAATTTTAATCAGCTTTAATGAGATGAATAGAGTATATATGCAGCCAGTACTGTAATGTTAAGAGTTTGCACTTGGACAAACTTGTGTTTCAAGGGAAAAGCTTGTCCTTTGACAAGTCCAAGAGTTAAGGTTTTCCTCTACACACACACACACACACAAAATCTTTCCTCGAGGTAGTTTTTTTAATGTAGAAATTTGTTAAGTTAGCTGCTTTTTAAATTTCTGCTAATTGGTTTTTGTTACGCTTTTGTTGTCAACTAACTATATGAGGAAACATCTTGATGCTATAGGGTTTAAGGTCACCTGAGATTGGTATGCAATTAAGAGATAAACCCTGGAAGATACATCAAGACTAGGAACACAAGGTTTTATACCTAGATCATCTTCTTAGTATTTTATTCAAGCAAACAAGGCCCAAGATGCTTATGTAACTGATGTCTAAGAAGGAATGGTTAAACCAAAGACTAAAGCATAGACAAACCTGAGCCATGAACATGGTTCTGGGTGGTATCTTCATATAGTGCCCCAATTTGAAGTCTTGCAAGAATGTCAATGCCTGTGTCATACTGATGTACCCATATACTTTAAAGCACATGTTTGCGACTGGGCGTCCAGGGTACAAGTACCCCATAATATACTCTGTAATAATGTTTAAGCCTGGTGTCTAGTTCATCAAACACAGGAAACTATCAGTCAGGCTAGTTAACCCAGAATTTGGGACATAATAAAGGAAATCAGCAAGCAAATACCTGGTTTGTGGTGGCTGTGATGATCCCAATGGGGAGTGTGAAGAAAATGGCGATGAAGCAGGCTAATAATACACCCCACCATGGAAGCTGGAGCTGATCGATGTAGTACTCGCATGCAAAGATGGTAAGAGCAATGTTGGCAATAAGGACAGCAATAAACCACCACTGGGGCACCTGGTCATATCTGCTCATGAGTTTGGTATGGATATCCATCTTCTTCTCTTTGAATGCTGACTTGCTCATTTGCCATATTTCACTGTGTGCATGGAGCAAAGTAGATTATATGTTTGTACAATGTCCTCACTTTCTCATAAGTCGTAAACTATTCCTTTGTTTTCTATACATCTTCATACTCTATCATTCTTGTTAGGTTTGGTCACAACATTTGGCTTTAAATATTTCATTTGCAGAAAATTGATATTAGAAAAGTTCTGCTTACTGGCTTGTGGGCAATTTTGGTGGTGCCACAGAGAGGACTCGTACCTTCCGTGAAAGAGAAGAACATGAGAAATGGTAGCCGTGAGAGACGCAAAGCCGATACCATAAGTCACTGCAAAGAATGTGCTCAAGTAGAGTGGACCATTCTTTTCATAGGCCATAATGTCAAGGTGGAAGTTGGAGTCGATGATGCTGGAGATGTTGTAACCCTGCCCAGTTGATGTGAAAAGTCCATCCGAGAAGATAGGGAAGGTCTTTGCCTTGTAGAGGTTGAGCCAATATGAAATTGGTGTGATGACATACATGATGAGCACAAAACCAGCTGCAACATTGGCAGTGGCAAACCAAGGGCTGGCAAGGGGGCTACCTATGTATGAGGAGATGGTGGACCAGTCCAAGCCAATGGCACCGATGCCAAGGCCATAGAGACCAGAACCCAGCTGCTGGGCAAGGATGGACTGGGGGAAGATCCAACAGACCCAAGAGAGGGAGGTGAGCATGGAGACAAGGTAGCCTGGGAAAACATAGTAGGCAAAGCTGCAAACAAATGCCACCATGAAGAACTGGTTCCGAGTCATGCCACCTTTGACCCTTTCTTCTTTTTCGTGCAGGGCCCTGCATGCAGATAGAAGGAAAGCAGTTGAAGTAGCTTGCAACCTTGTCAGTAAGTCTCAATTCTCAAACTCCTGCTCAAGACTCCTGCCTAGTAGTTGCATGAGCAAACCTATTTCTTTCGACAATGTTTCGTAAAAGATTCAGAAAAAGAAAACAAATTCTACTACTTCTAGAAAACTTTCTTCTTTTTTTTCATTCAGTGTTCTTCAGAAAATGAAAGCGAAATTCATCTTTTTTTCCTACACCCCAAACACTAGTAAAGAACTCTTTTCATTTCTACAATCCAAAAACTTATTATTTAATGGGAAATATTTTCCACTTTTATTCTTCATCATAGATGACTAAGTCATGGATTATCATAAAGAAATTGGCAAATATTTTTTTGATACTCTTAGATTTTATTCCTAATTGATCTCTGAATCATTTGCTATTGCTTCTACTTTTTGCCTTGATTAAACAAGATTTTGATAACCAGTCATCAGCAATATCATGTCATAGTTTGACTTTTTCAAGAGAGAGAGAGAAGAAGAAAAAAAACAAGGAAGCCAGTCAATATTCACTTAATCACATGGTTCTCTGTTTCCCTCGTGTGATTTCTCAGATTCTTCAAGGAAGCATGGGGTGTACTGCTACTTAATTGCCGTTGCCCAGAGTTATGGTTTGATCTTTCTGCTGCCGACACCACCATTTCCTTTCTTTCCAGATCTACTCACAGGTAATTTTTTCAGATCTGAGCCGTCATATACTCTCACTTTGATCTTACAGTTCAGGTGCACTAACAATTATATTACTGCTACACTCATATCGAAGTTGATTCCGTTTAGTAAACAAGGAAACCATGGTAAGATCAGTTTGTATGCCATGTGAATGATTATTATCATCAAGCCCAACAATTAAGCTTCAGATGTGAATCAAAAACACAACAGTTGACATCAGGTGGATGATTTCATGGAGTGTCCTTTTCTTATGATTGACAACAGAGAGAGCTTGAAAAGAATCTGTGTAAACACAATTTTTTCTACTTATTATTATTAGATGAGGCTAATATTCAACTTTAAATGTATAGCAGATGTCCCCACGATTGATGTGGTTTGCAAGCAAGAATCAATATCTGTGCATCCCTATCAATATCAATAATGGTCATGTTAACTTGTACTCCTGCATAAAAATATCCCTGTTAACAGATCTCACGCAACACAACATGCTGAATGTGTGACTTGCTTTCAGATATTAGACATATATTAAGAGTTGGACCTCTCATCAATGCCAACGAATGTTTGACAATAATAATAAATAGCTTGCCAAGCAAAAAAGCAAAAAAGTATATTTATTAATATTTAGATAAAAATAATAATTTGGTTGTTAAGTTGACGTGATTGATGTCATCTTTACCTGAACAAGGAGACCTGCACCAAGTTATAGGGCCACCACATGGCCGCCGGCTCCACCAGATACCGCCGGAATATCCCCGCCCATCCGAAGCCCAACACCTGATCCATGTGAGGCGACGTCTCAGCCAAAACGAATCATGCAGTAGTACTGCTACCCGAGCAATGGAGCAAAGAGAATATATGCCTGCGTGGTGATGACGACGAGGAAAGAGACGAAGAAGGTGATGTGCTTCTGGTAGAATATCTTGACGGCGGTGACGACGTGGATGGCGTAGACGCTGCCGGCGCCGGAGTTGGCGAAGATGGTGATGAGGACGTGCTCCTTCATGTTGAAGGGCCCCGGGTTGAGCGTGAACTCCCACCGGCTTCCTTTGAAGAAGACGCGGTCGGTGATGGTGGAGGCCATGAGGTGGCCCAGCGGCACCACCGCGATCTGCGCCGAGATGGAGGTGATGGACAGCGGCTCCTTCCGGTACCAGAAGAACTGGTTCAGGAAGGAGAGCAGCACGCAGGACGCCGTTCCCAGGACCCACATCCGGAACGTCAGCACCGGCGTCGTGGGGTCATCTTCCACAGGCACAGTCAGCGCCACCTGCTCGATCGGCGAGTTCTCCTCCTCCTCCTCCTCCTCCTCCTCCTCTCCCTCTTCTTGCCACGGTGGAGATTTCGCCGATGACTCAGAGGTGGAGAGCTCGTGGGTGACTGCATCATGAGGTAGAATGAGGAGGGGATTCGACGAGAGAAGGCACGAGAGGTGTAGGGGGAAACGATAAGCTTACGTAGTGAAACTGAGATCTCTTCTTCTCGAGTGCTGTCCATTTCGGTCAGCTGCGTTCTTCTTCTTCCTCCTCCTCCTTTGTAGATTCTATCTGGAGAAGAACAAATGGAAGCTATATGCTTGAAGGAAGAGGAATCAGCATCTTCCCATTTCTGCTAGATCTACTTTTTCGTATCGGATGAGTTCTGCAGGGTGTGCAGGAAGGAAGAGGGTTTGACCAACCAGCACACTGCAGGCGCATCTACCGTCCTATTCTACTCTATTTACCTTTTGCTCGATACACTTAATGAATGCATGCCTTAATAATTCCAATCATGCTTTCACAATTTACCTACTCAGTTGATGAATGATTGATCATGAAAATATATGATATAGATAGCAACGTTGCTGGTAGCATGCAATCTGGAATGCATGTGTTCCACATGTTCACCAACGTGCAGTTGGGTCCACCTTTGCTTGTCCTTCTATAGAAGGAAGTCAATGCATATAATTTTATTGAATTTAGTTCCTTCTTGTGAAAATTCTTGCCTCGAATTTCTAATTATACGAAAGTAATTCTAATGGAAAAGAAAGAATTCTTTAAGTTGAGTTATATAATTATAAAGCTTTGATCTGTATATCGCTCTTCCAAATAATTATAAATATATTAATTATTAATATTTTTATATTAATGATTTATTATGAATTAGAATGTAACATGTATTTGAATCCGATGCTTATACTTCAAAACAATTTATATTAAGATCTTTATAGTTCTAAAAATAAAATAAATAATTTTATTTGTCTTAACATCGTTAGTTGTATCGACGAAAAACATAATACATGATATTACGGGATCGATATGAAAGTGATATGTAAAAAAATAATTTTAATATTTCTTTCGTTTTTAGTACGTATGATATTGAAATTACTTTCTTGCTGATAAAAGTCGTCGAAATAAAATGAATATTAAAATTATTTTTTTACTTAATATTTTTGGATCGATCTAATATATAATGTCACATATTATATAGACGGTGTTAGAATAAATAAAATTATTTATTTTATTTTTTAACCTATAAAAATTTAAATATAAAAATCACGATGCTAATATGATCCAAATATAAAAGGTGATAACGTAGTTAATCCTCCAACCACTGCATCAGTAGCCAACGCTTCCCAAGAGCAAGCGAGCAAGAGGCCATCTCGGGGGAGCCCGGCGTGGGATGAACCAGATCAAACAGATCCATGCTTTCACCCTCCGCAATGGCCTCGACGACATCCAAGCCCTCGTCCTGAAGCTGCTCCAAGTTCCCAACCTCCCCTACGCCCACGCCCTCCTCCTCTCCCATCCCCACCCCCCGCCCACTTTCCTCTACAACAAGCTCTTCCAGGCCTACGCCCGCGGCGCCGGGAGCGCGTTCGAGCCCTGCGCTGCACTCTTCGCCCGCATGCGTCGGCCCCCCAACCCGCACTCCTTCGTCTTCCTCTTCTCCGCCTGCACCGCCTTCGCTCGCCCCGCCCACGGCCGCGCCCTCCACGCCCGCTTTCTCCTCTCCGGCCTCCCTTTCGACGCCTTCGTCGCCACCTCCCTCCTCGACTTCTATGCCAAGTCCGGCCTCCTCGACTCCGCCCGCCGCCTGTTCGATGAGTTGCCCTTCCGGGACGTCGCAATGTGGAACTCCTTGATCGGCGGGTACACCAGGTGGGGCGAGCTGGACCAGGCCAGGGAGTTGTTCGAGATGATGCCCTTTAGAAACGTAATCTCTTGGACGTCCATGGTCTCCGGGTATGCCCAGAATGGGCGCTATGAGGAGGCCGTCCGTGCGTTCTCGAGGATGTGGGAGGAAGCCGAGGTGAAGCCTAACGAGGTCACGCTCGCGAGCGTGCTGCCGGCATGCGCCCACCTTGGGGCGATAGGGCTGGGAGAGAAAATAGAGAACTATGCACGTGAGAAGGGATTGATAGGGAATGTGTTCGTGTGCAATGCTTTACTGGAGATGTATGGAAAGTGCGGGAACATTCATCGTGCAAGGAAGGTATTCGATGAAATGGGTGTTAGAAGAAATTTGTGCTCTTGGAATTCGATGATAGTGGCATTGGCAGTGCATGGGATGTGGTGTCAAGGCCTTGAGCTTTTCCATGAAATGAGGGTATGCCACTTCTACATTGCCTTATTCTAAAAGATACTCCATGTCTTTTTCAACTTGAAGCAGAAGAAAGTAAGATTGTGTGGTTCAGTGACATTTGAATTGGTTGTATTCTTTCCTTTGTTGTTAATTAGATTTCTTTGTCTTTAGATGCGTAACGGATAGAGATATGTTACAAGTGATTACTAGTCTTTAATGAAGAATCAAATATCATTTAACTTGCCTTCCGTTTGTTATAATATGTGCATTCAATGACTTGTTTCACAAGGACATGCAGCCAATTTATATTGCTTTCCCTTTTTTTTTTTAATGTGTTGTTTAGCTTAGCTAGTAAGACTTTGACAATATATTGCTTTCCTTTCTTCACCACTTGCCCTTTGCAATATATATATGTATGTATATATGTATATATATACATATATATGTATATATATGTATGTATGTGTGTGTGTATATATATATATATATAGGGTAATATTTGGGATTAAATCTCAAGTGTCATAAATGCTAATGATATTAAGATGGCAAGAATCTCACGTTATTGGAAAGAGTTTTATTAGTAACTTGTCAAACGTAGCCATTATATGTTAGAGCAATAAAATAACCTTCTTTTCTTGCTTTTCTAAAATTCATGAAAGAAAGTTCTTGGATGAATACTTTGTTGTATACTTAGTGTACTTGTTGCAGGTGTTATTGCGGTTTTATTTGGACCTCTGTTCAATGATCATTAACATGTTTATCATTGATGTTAGGAAAAAGGAATCTTGCCCAATGATATTACACTTGTAGGTGTTCTCTTGGCTTGCACTCATGGAGGACTGGTGGATGAGGGGCAGTATATCTTCAATTCCATGGAAAAGGACTTTTTCATCACCCCTAAACTGGAACATTATGGTTGCATGGTTGATCTATTAGGGCGTGCTGGACTAACAAAAGAAGCCTACAGTCTGATAACAAGTATGCCAATGGAGCCAGATTCAGTGATATGGGGTGCTCTGCTTGGTGCTTGCAGTTTTCATGGTGACGTCCAATTGGCAGAAGTTGCTGCCGAGTTCCTATTTAAACTTGAGCCATGGAACCCAGGAAACCTTGTGATTCTTTCCAATATATATGCTTCATCAGGGAGATGGAATTCTGTTGCTAAAATTTGGAAAATGATGAAAGGAAAACTACACAGAAAGTCAGCTGGATATAGCATAATTGAGTTAGATGGGTATATGCATAAGTTCCTCGTGGAGGATAAATCCCATCCACAATTTGAAGAGATATATGTCCTTCTGGACGAGATTACAATGAGGATGAGACACCTTAGTTACAAACCTAATCTGAATCTCCAGATCGAATGCTAAGGGGATTTGGATATTCATAAGGTTGTGTTCCATTCAAGGACATAAATGAACAGAATCCTCCAAAACCGTAAATGTGTTCCATTATCAAATTTTAGAGCACAAGAAGCTGAATAGAAGGCTATGGTCATGGAGGTCTTGTTGTTTAGTGTTTGACTTAATGGGTTGAAGAAAATAATAGAAGCACCCCAAATGACTGCAAAGCAACTATTGATAAGCATTTTCAATCATTTTATTGAACCTCCTGAATATAAAAAGCAACAACGGTGTTCTGAATCTCAGATCAACGGTTGAAACTTTTGACAACTCTGCGGGATCTCGAGTTATCAACTTTTTATAGAAGGCATGACAGGATCATCCAGTTGGATATAAACTCATGTTTGCTCAAGAAATTGATTTGGTACCAGTCTTAATCAAAGAGGGATGGAAACCTTTTGACGTGTAGCTATATGATATTAGCATTTATCCAAGAAAAGAAAAATTATTCTACTAATGGAGTAGTATAGAGGTTGAAATCAGGAAAAAGTTGTCATGAATAGTACACGAGACTCTCTATTAAGGTAAGTTGAATGATTACTTTTTCATGTCATTTAAACATTTTTTATTGCAATAATGATTGTACTACATGCTTTAAAATTTTAAACTTTCAAAAGAATTACAATTATCAGACAAGTGTTTATGGGGTGGTGTGTCCTTTATGAGAAGAAAGTACTTCACTGTATTAGCCAATTCAAATCGCCATATTTCTATCAGTATTACGTAACACCAAGTTGTTCTTGGTCAATTTCTTTATCTTATTGCCAGATATAGATGAAAAAGTCAGCGAGTTCGACCAAAGCTAATTAGACTGGCCAACTTCAACATATTTAACAAGAGCAGGAAACCAACTGCTACCAGAGAAACCAATCATCCAAGGGGGAGGAACAGAAGAGAGTCGTGGAAGAAGGTTAGGCATAAAAGATCCAATGATAGCACTGAAGCAGAGAAGACATCACTACTATAGTGTTCACCATCTGCTGTTATTGTTATGACCTCCTTGTCACCATCACAGTCACATTCATCAACTGCCATTGCTGTCATAACTTTGCTATCACATTAGCAGAGGAGAGGTTAAGGGGAAAGGTATGAGGTAACAGCTCCTTCTTGAGGAAATATGATAGCAACAACATATAAGAATTAAACTAAAATGAGGAGAGGAACTGACTCCTTACATTTGCAGGCAAAGGTGACAACATGACAGGGAAGGTATATGCCATGATATCCAGAATTAATTCTGAATCTTGTGGTTATTTTACTTGTTTTTTGCATTACCCAACTCCAGCTGCATGATAATTAGAGATGCATCTTTTCCACATTTTATAACTAATAGGATGTTGGATGATATTTTGCTTGAATTGAATATGCACTAAAATGCTACTTGCAGATTACAAAAGGCTAAAGAAAATGATACATATCACCACTGACAAAAGTCTTAGAGAAATAGTTTCAGGTCCTCGTATGAGCTATGCAAACCTCATCTTTATCTATACCTTTATGCCAACCAATAACAAACTATCCTTGTATAGGCATATAAAATACTATGTTTAATATGATGTAGGATAAGAACTGTCAAGAGGCTTTGTCGAAAATTTGAGATATCAGTCGACTTCAATCAGCATTAGAAAAACTCTACGGATGCTGAAATTCATGGTTGTGAGTTTTTTTAATTGTTTGATATTTTGTTTTAGAGACTTATAAGTGGTTAGAAAATGATTTTGGATTATGGTGGTAGCTTTGAATACTGTTTTGAAAACCAACATACAAAGATGAGAGGGTAGATAGATGATCGCAACAAAGAAAGAGAGAGGAGAAAAATACTTGAACTAACCCAAGTTTGTAGGAATCACATATAGGATTTGGCTTCATGCCAATCATGCCTCACAGGCTCTTGGGAGAGCACTTCTTGATTTTGTTGCACCATTTTACCTTGTGACTCATCTGTAGTAAGTTTTGGTTCGGGTCAATTTATCTAATGTGCTCGTCTCCAATTTGTAGTTCAATACTTTTAGATACTGAAACCCTTGTTTTGTTGCTTTTCGTGATGTCCTCTTCTACAATTACAGCCCTGACATTTACATAGAAACATTTGCACTTGTTTTCAATTCTTTCTGGTCTCTGACTTCATTTGCTTTTAGCTTTATCTTGACTTCATATTTCCTCAGTAGACATCAAATCAAAAATCTTCTACATGATGGCTCCTTGAACTCTTCCCAATCTACGGTTGATGATTCTGCCTGATATAATATTTGTCTATGCACGTCTATTAACCATTATTCTGCTCTCTCTGAGCCCCCAAGCTCGCATGTACATCCTAGAGTAATCAAAAGTCCAAAATAATCTTCAAGATAGCTTCTCCACAATTAATTCAAGTATGTCATGGTCATTTGTGTAAGAACTTTTACAGAAGTAGTACTCATCAATGTTTAAATTGTGATATGGTCTTGTAATTGCCATGTTCATCAACATTAACATTTTCCCTAGAGTTTATTTGATTAAAAAGAATAGGAATAATAGTGAGTAATGGTGCCATTGGTCCAATTAATATTTTGATTAATATTATTCGTGTACAATTAATGTTTTTAACATTGTAGGTCCCTCTATTGTTAGTTTTGCGTACATGCGATCAAGATACAATTTATCACTGATGACTAGGAAATTGTTAAAATAAAAGTTATTAATCTGGCTACTTCTGCCATGTTAATTTGCAGTCCCCGATAAAACAAAACTGATCCTGCTCGTGCATACAAAATCTGAACTTGGATTTCATGTCGGGTTGATGATGATGTGGCATCATCGTGGTGCTTATGTGTTATACATGTTGACCACTTGACATCACATGGCACATCAAAATATTAAAATGAAACTTGGTGGGCTACTATATCCCATGTGGATTGCCATGATAGCACCAAGAATATCAAGAAATTCAAGTATACACTTGTGTCTGCATGTAATATTTCTGAAGGAGAAAGTGGCCAAATAATCATAAAGATGGAGGGACCAAATATAAAAGTCAAAGATAGATTGAACAAAATTTTGATACAAGCTCTAAATTGACTATTGATATATAAAAAGGGGATTGATAATGTCATTAGTCCAAAACATTACCTTCATTAAGGTAATTCTGGAACATCGTTAGAACATCATCTTGGTTCATGGTTTATTTAATTTTGATTTTTTTTGGATAGTTGTAATGGTGAAAGCAAGGAAGTTAATGTGGCAGTAAATGTCGAAACAGGAGCGTGAATTACCTAATTTCTACATGGTGACCTTGTTCTATAAATTATCGTTTTACAAGTTTGTTTCCAAGATAATGTTGAAGGCTCTGACAAATGAAAATGACAAATAGAATTTCTGTATTTGTGTTAAAAAAAAAAATTTGCTCATCGGTCACTTGTTTACTCGAGAATTGGAAGTGCTCAAGCAATATAGGAAAACAGGCTTTTGATGTATTTACTTTCTTTGTAATTTTCATTTTAGATATCGTAATTGGCTAAAATAGTGTGAAGTTTTTTGACCTGTATGATTTTTTTACCTCACGTGTCAATTATCATGAATGTACTTGCAAAGGGTTATCAATTTATTGGAACTTCACTATTTTAGATGGTATATCTAGATAAAGATACGCTAGATGTGGAAGCCATGATCATGTGTTGCATGGGTTTTTAAAGCCATGACCAAACTTTCAAAGATTTCCAAAATCTGGCACAGGATTCCCATCAAATCCTTGTTAAGAGAAGTCATGCCCGCATGCTCTTAAGCAGTGCCTTGCTTCTCTCTCCAATACATGAAGGTTGTAAATTATCCTTTGTCTTCAATATTTATTCAAACTAATTACCTTATTTTGCCAATTTTATGAGTACCTTTTCTTAAGTTCCATTATGAGCAGTCATTTTTCGGTGTGGAGTTTTAGTCGATAGTATGCAATTAACTTTGATAGTATGAAGGTGTGTTGTAGTTTTAGGGGAAAAAATGTATTTTGTTTTTTTTATGTTTCTAAATGTGTTGAACTGTTGTTACTGAAATTAGGGATATTTTAGCTGATTAGATGGTCTTACCCATAAGTGCCATGAGTTTTAAGCAATCGGAGACTCCTCTTTAGACAAGTACACGAGCATTTGCACATCATCTATCAGACACGACTTCTCCGTTAATATAACCTTTGCTCGTCATGGTTAATAGTCTGTTAATAATTCTTTTACTTTGGTTTTTACCATCTAAAATGGAAGTTTCTCTCTTGCAGTCAAAGAATTGTCGCAGTCTCAGTGCAGATCGCCTCTAGCTTCCACAAGTTGACCAGTCACAAGAATGATGGTGAATCATGAAATCGGAGTCCTTCCATGCTCGATCGATCGAACGCGATGCGGAATTCTGGGTTTAATCGATCTCGCTTGCTTTCATTTGTGGATGTCGATAAGTTTTGCGGCAGCATGCTTCCAAAGTACCTTGGCACAAAAGACGGCAAAAGAGGCTCCGGATGACCAAAGAAGCAGTGAGGGGAATCATTCGACATGGTTTTTATGGACCGACTGACATATGTGGATTATGGATGGATGGTCCCGAGGTGATCCTTTATACGAATATTTATTTTGCCCTTGGTATGTAATAGAACATAAATCTAAATTATTGTGTTACCAGAATATTGAACCATCATTAAGTTCCAAGATTAACTACGCTTACTTCAACAACCAGGACATGTTAGGATGAGTTGCGATCAGGACACCCTTTTTTTGAATTCTTTTTCAAGCTAAAATCCAGTGTTTGTTATTTATTATCTTTGTTTCCTTTTTTTCCATTTCTCTATTAAAAGAAATTTTCAGCTTCCTTTTTATTTAGCAAAAATGTTATTCATATTTCAATTATATGAACTCGACAGTGGAAACAACTGGTGCTCGATGATTTAGTTGTAATTTACTTCGATAAAATTTTATTACTTTAAAGTTCCATGTAAATTTTATAAGTCGATACATGAGAATATTTGGAGTGTTTCTAAATCTCTTTTCCAGACTGAAAAAAAAAAATCAATCATTCTCCAGAAAGAAAGACATGAAGAACATATATTTTCTTCTTTATTATTATAGATTAACTAATTAGCCTTGATATGATTATATTTTCTTCTTTATTATTATTTTTCCATATATTTGAGGCCTGATATGATTATTATGTTTCTACTTTATTATTATTTTTCTTATATTTGAGGCCTATAAAAAAAATTATCATAACATGAGAATCAACGACTTCTTTTTCCACATCTTTTGGGAGTCCAGAATGAATCTAGTAAAAAAAAATTGTTCGTTATTTGTACAAGTAGATATAACCACAGCCATAGGTTCTTGATTTGGTCATCCTTGAGAAACCCTAATTTCTTGACGATGAATAATATATGAAGAGAGAAAAGAAGATATACATGTACACATTTATATACATCTATTGTTTTATTTTTATTGAAGCTCACATCATTCACATTCCAAACTAGTTGCAAAAAACAAGATAGCCATAGTGTTCTAATCATTGAAGGTTAGCCACATGTATAAATTAAAATATCCCCCATTAAAATGTACTATCAAGAAGTGGAACCATACTCACAGCTCAAATGTAGGATCGTGGCTCCTGCTGCGAAAAACCGAGCAATGGCAAGAAACTAGAGTAGTGCAAGGCCTCGGCAAACATCAACCAATTACTTGCCCGGTCGCATACTACGATTTGTGGGGACATAGCCTAACTGCAAAATTCTAGCGTAAACAGGCATAAACATTAGAGAACAACAAACAACACCACATATAAACTTGCAGCCATCGAAGGATATCTATCTGTTGCCAAGGCACAAAAAAGTCAATCCTGAAACACAATTTGTAGAAGTTGATCCTGCAGTTCAACTTGCCTCAATGGAAAAAGAAAAGAAAAACAAACGGCACATCTTAAAAGTGATCAACATTAACAGGATAATAAAAGCTGATGAAAATTGTTACGACAAGGATAGATAGCTTCAGAAGCAACACCAATGCCATTAAAAACACAAGCAAATACATTCCATCTAGATGAGAAGTCATTCTTTCAAACAAACAAAAGCAACAATCGCTGGATGCACCACGTTTATCACTGTCCGTGCCATCTAGTTATACAGCAAACATTAGACAACTGTTTGCTCACAACATTAGACCACAGTTCTAAATACATCGCAAAGATCACCAAAACTAATTCCACATCTACAATCACTAGGCTTCTCAAAAGGAAGCATCACTAGCATTCTGAAAAGATTCATAGGATCACATCCTCAATTTGGTAGTTATTTAGCTAATTTGGTAAATAACAAAGCTTCATCGAGTGAACTACATATCAAATGCCTCCTCATGTTTCATTCGCAGGCTGTACTTGTCGATGTAACCACTGGTATTCTGTAAAATCACCAACTTCTATATAACTCCTCTTTCGGCACACCCCCGATTACATTTATAGACATGTGCTGGAACTTGGAACAGCAGTCTAAGTGCACATATTCAAGCAACAAAACAGTTTAGGCAATGCAGGAAAAACAAACTATTCCATGGTTAGCTTAACAAGAGACTCATTTCCTGGCCAACTTGATAGCTACCTGTGATCAACCTATCTTGCAAGACTAAGTGCCAGCAGAAACAGATGTTTTATGTTTGTCCATCTCCGACAGTGTAAGTTGGGTTCTGCTCTCTAACCAAACTACCTTGTCGGTAAGTTATCGTTGTGCACCATTTAACCACAACATACGAGGTTGATGAGACAAGAAATTGTCTAGATCATACAACTGTATTTAGGAAAATAAGTTTGTCTCATGAGTGATTTAAGGCAAAAGCATGAGAAAATATAGCAGCTCAACGAAAGCATTTTATGGACAAGAAGATGGACCATGTCACAGGAATAACTGACATAAAAGGACCCAAACCTGTATCCTTATAAAACCATATAAAGCAATCACATGCACCACCAACGTGTGTTCCAACACTTCTAACCTCGATGATTAGGTTCTATTCAAGGTTCCCTGCTAGCTCAATTCATAACCTCATGTCAGGCACCCATTTCTAACCCCAATGATTGATATTGGCAATTTCTTGATCTACCTGCAAATTGGTTAAGATTACTCCCACATTGATCAGAATGTTGGAAAATCAAAAGCCTCAACGAACCAAGACGACTCTTTTCATCAAGGTGCCTTCCACAAAGAATTTAACACCTCATGCACCACTAGGCCTGACTTGGTAATGGACCTCATCAGATGGTGGTTCATGCAAGTTCGAGATGCATTTGGCTCCCCAAATGGGAGCTCCATTGAGATGACATTTGGTCTCACTTTTGGTTAGAATTGGAGAACCAAGACCTCAAAAAAGAAAATGTATCCACTAATCTCCTCCTCTTGAGACACTTTCTTGAGATCCACATCCAATGACAAAACCCTATTAAGGCTGACCCAAAGTGGACAATATCTCACAAGCCACTAAGACCAAATTAGTGATGTCCAGATGATGGACCTCATCAAGCCATAATCAACTAAAATCAATCAAAACTCAACCAACACTAACTAATTTTGGCCAACTCTAGGCGCCATACATCAAAAGAAGATACGGGTGGAAAGAAAAGAAATCAAAGTGGAAGAAAGGCAAAACAGAACCATACTACTATCATAGTGAGACAAACAGATGTTGCTTCAACTCGGTAAACTATTTGTTACACTACAATATTCATGATCCATTGCAGATAAAAGAGAAAGTGCACTGGGAGAGGAATCAGTACAAAAAAGCAACCCAATAGCATCTTATGAAAAGTGTTATGTCATAACAAAGAAGGGAAATTTCACAAGTTTCACTTATAATTTCATGAACTTCTTCTTCGAAGAAAGTTTTCTTTGTTTAACTTTATATTATCTAGATAACTTTATATTATCTAGCACTTTGGACCTCTTAAAAAAAAAAAGATGTGTCATTTCTGTACAGTTAGTTTTGTTCTTGTCCCTTTGCAGTATCTGATACTTCACCTGCATGGAAATTCATTGCTGTGGATAAACATTTTCTTTCTTAGTGATTTTATAATAAATATATAATAACTATTTTCTAATGATTCTCTTTTACTTTTAAGTACATTTTAATTTCATATATTCTTAAAAGGTTGTGCATTAGATGTATAAGAATTTTTCATCATTAAATGTAATATTATTTTTCATGATATCGTGCTAATTCTATATTTTTATACTTCAATTTTAAATTATTTTTTCATTTAAGTTTAATCTCATTGATCCAATCTGATCAATCTTACAAATTATGGTTTGTATTGATCCTAGCTAATTTTTGATAGGGTTTATGTTGATACTTCGCCTATCAAAAGGAATCAGTTTATGGAATATGTCCTCTTTGGGATATGAGATAGAAGGTAACTAAATATGGTTTGTGCAAACACTGGAATTAAGCACTGAATCCTCAACAAGGGAGAACAAAAGCAAGGATCTTACATCCAGTTCCAGGGTTTACACATCAAGTCTCAAACCGCATTGGGTACCTGAGAAGACCATGCATTTCATATCACCATAAAACACTAATATCCATAATTCAAAAGAATTATTACTCTTGAAAGATTCACACAAACCCACACAGATGTATATACATGCATAATTCATGAAAAAACTGTAAACTTAGTGATCCGTCCAGATGCTACCACGAAAATCTAAACGGAATCAGAAATGAAGTTACCACTGTGCCACACATCCGGAACAATATTTCCCAACATATGCGTATGTCACTGATTAGATGATAAAATTGAAGATGAACTCCAATCATATATCAGATGAAAAAGTTTACATGACCATATAATAACCCGTCAAGTCGCCAATATCAAGTATCAAGCAGAAGGTTGGCGTTCGAAGTACCCTAAAAGTAATCGTAATTTAGTCCATGGCCTGTAATCGCCTTTTAACACAAACAAGCAAGCTTAGGCGGGCAGTGAAATTGGAACACGGCTTTATAACTATGCCAGTTACGACTATTATAATAATTATTTTAACGAACTGGACACTGAAGATGGATTATCTAAGCGTCTCGTCACAGAAGCCTCCTGTATTGACAGAACCTACAAGAAAACGACCGGAAAATAATAATTGAGTTCAGGTTTAGATCGCAACAAAACAACGCTTTTCTTGAGCACATCTTGCGGATATAGTAAAACTTAGATTTCGCATGTCACCTGGAAAAGGAAATCCCATTATCAATGTTGCCTACCACGAGGCCCACCAAATGACCTCGGACCAGGAAAGCGAGCGAACTGCAGCCTCAAGTTGGCTGATTTTCGATCATTTTCGTCAAATCTATAACCTGCAAAATCGAGCCGTGACTACTTTACGCTGTGGACGGGGCTATACGTTAACGGAAGATAAACGGATTGCCGTAGAATGGAAAATTACAGGGTAACACTAGAAAGAATGTGATTGCAGGTGCATAACCAATGAAGACAAAACATAGGCACTAATGCATCGTAAGTTCTTCAACATCTGCCGACCCTCAAGGCTGTTTCTTCACTAACAATCAGTTGGACAATATCTTACAAACTACTTTTGAAAGCCTCTTCCAGTTTTACCCAAAATCTGAAACTATCATATTTCCTTCTGTTTGTCGAAAGATATGAGAGGCAAGTGCTGTCAGCCTCAGTTCAAAATGAACAACCAATTAATGACAGTTTCATAGTTTCAACTCCAATGTATTAGCTTAAAACATACTCTGACATACTGAACCTGACGACGCATGTTACAAGCTAGTAGAAAAGGATGGTCCATTGCACAAGGCAGCCACATTGTCACCTAAATGACAGAGGAGAAACCTTTTAACTTAAAGCATACTCTAACAAGCTCGACATGACAGTGCATTAAGCACTTTTATTAACTAGTAGAAAAGGATGGTTGAACAAGGCAGCCAACATTGTCACCTAAATGATAGAGGAGCAACCTTACCATGATGTCAACCCTCACTGACTGAACCTTTAGCTTTGGTTATTAGAAAATCAAACATGTCAGAAAACAAAGTAATGAGAAGTTTAATTCTATCATGCAATGAAGGCTCCTCTCTGTCCCAAGAAAAATAAAAAGGCAAAACTGAGAGACGATGAGTAGAAACAAGTGTAATAAAATCAACCCATCTAAATGAAAGAATTTCTAGTGGTCATCGAGCCTACACCAAAAATTGCATTAATCACCCAGCATCAACAAAGGTGTTTGCTTGCAATTGCAAGGTGTAACTAACAATTCAAAATAATGATCACTATAATGATCTGGACACTCACAATTGTGAAATATATATAATTTATGGTCAAAAAAGATGATAATAGCTTTAATCTACTCCAGAAAAGGAATGACAGCTGTTATTCAATTCCAGTATCTGTTGACCACATTCCCTGATCTTTGTGTGATAGAGGGAAATGAGTCGGCAATCTAGCATATATAACAGTCATGTCAAGTTACTAACTGCACACACAGGTTAAAATGTCATCTTCTTTACAGCCACATCAGATCAAAAGTTCCTCACAGATAAGTTGATAAATAAAAGAACAATTAGCTTCGGGCACCACAAGCAGTCAGGATGTTTTGTGCCAATCCTACATATTTAAGGCCATTGTGTTGCACTTACTGCAACTGAAACACCAAAAGATCAATAGATATGAGAACATTTTCTCCTCCTTGTGCAATCTAGAAAATACTTAAACCATAAAGTAGACAGGTCAATGAAATACTAGACAGAATTGACCAACCAAACAGGAAAGGGGGGCCTTGAAGCAACAGTGTACTGAAAAACAGTACCTCATGCAACACTGCAGAAGACCATAGCAGTAATACAATATAATAAACTGGGAAGAGTAAGAAAGACAAGAAATCAAGCATGGTTGTAATCGAACCAAGCAAGTTATCAAAGTATTAAGCATGTATTTGTCACCTTGCAGAGCTTCCAGTGCAATTGCAGCTTGTGCTGCAGTAGTGAAATCAACAAAGCACAAGATAATTGGATCGCCTCTGGGCTGCAATAACATTGAACAAAAAGAATTGAGGCTTCTCATGCTTGATGTGAATAACAAAGACTCAACTCCCCAATGAGAAGTTAGAGACATACCTGTCTGGATTCCTTGTTCACAAGTCTCACCTCTTCAAACCCTACAAAAGGACGGAAAATGTCTGCAAAGGGAAGTGAAGGAGTAGCACAAACCTGAAACATGATAGCATACAAGACAGAATTAGCCAAAAGGATACGAGAGACTTCCCGGCGTGTACAGTCAGCAGGGAGGCCTTCCACAAATAGTGTATTTGAGGCATCTGGAGGAAGGAGAGGTTCAGGCCTTCTGCCACCCTGACCATCCAAGGCCCCAATGGTCATCATTCGTCGGTCATCAACAGGTTGACTACTAATTCCTCCACCCACAGGCCTAACAGGCTGTCCTGCAGGATAAGAAGAAATCTGGAGGAAAATTTCAAGTTAGCCTCCAATAAAATGGTAACACATGAATAAAAAAAGATCACATCCATTAAAATTACCCCATCGCGTAAGTAGCGATCATATGAAGCCCCAAGTGATTCAGTATCTCTGATTGCATGATTCACAGTTCTTTCATCCTCAAGCACGTAATAACCAAGCATGTCCGAACCACTAGGTACATCTTTAAGTCAAATAAAATCAGTCCATAAGAACATTAAATATCAATTATAATAGTAATAGCTCTATAACACTCAAGGTGCAAATTGCACTAGTAGAACAAATGTCAAGTACAACTCTTTACGTTAGGTAAGATTACATGATATTCATTCTTGTTCATTATGATTGCAAATTTGTAAAGAACAAAAATGATGCCTACATGTTAAAAGTTCATCTGGTGGAGCAAAAGAACCATGCTTAAGTGACACTGTTTTTTCATTGCCTTTTAGCTGCCAGAATTTGGGGTCTGTTGAGCACAATCTAGGGGTTAAGCTTGAACTGCCAATTTCTGATAAAAAGGGGGCCTAGATGGGTGACCCATTTAGAAGCCCTTATGCTTCTGCTTCTATAGTTAAAGCTATTATTCTTACATGCCTTTGGCTAATTTGGAAAGATAGAACAAATAGAATCTTCAATGGAGCTAACCATACTCCTAATATTATTGTGCATAAAGCTTTTACTTATACTCGAATGAAGCTCCATATACCCCAACTCTGAAGGCACCCATGAGCTAAGCCAACTCTCTGTTAGTTGGGAAAAACCATGGCTGGTTTAAGCTTTAACTGTTATGGTTCTTGAGATCACCACTAGGATGGAGGTCTAGGATTCACAATTAACAATGATGAAGATAACTGCATAGTTTCTGGATGTAGGTACTTCGTTGAATGGGGGCACTCTTTACTGTGAGGCTGCCGTTGTATACTATGGACTTAAGCATGCTCTACAGGAAGGAATTCAACTTATTATGGTGGAATCAGATTCTAAATTTTGGTGGACATTTTGAACAGAAAAATATACCCGTCCATGGTCTATTCTAAATGTAACCAAAATTTGTCTGTTTGCTTCAAAATTTTGTAGCATTGTCTATAAAGATGTTTATAGGAAAGGTAACAGAACTGCAAATTGGGTAGCTTGCCAAAACCAACAAGCTTGATGCCTGTTGGTGAGTGTCATAGCCATCAGTGCGTACTTAGTCTGCTGATTAAATCTGATCTTTTGGGGACTATATGAACTCATTTTTGTAATACATAGTGTTTCTTCTCCTGGAAAAAAGTGACATTTTATTTATTTATTTTTTTGGTGTCATGAAATTAACATCAGTGCTTAATGTGCATAATTCCAAACAACTTTACTTAGAAAACAGATCTGTAGACAGAAATCTCTATGGTATATACCAAAAAATCAAAGAAGATCCTGCACAATAAAAAATGAACCAATGGACAGCCCAGTAATGAATTTGCTGGATTCCCTTTTCTGGAAAATTTTGTTTCAGCGCAAAGTGATTAGATTTAGTTTGTCACCTCGGTAGTCGGAAATTTGAATAACCAATACCAGAAAGAACCTAAGCAAGTAGGAAATCAAGCAATTTGCGTTCGACTACAACGGGCAAATTGTGCAGTGAAAAATTGCATTCGTCTCCTTATGCTGACCAACAGGAAGCAATTCAACCTCGTACCAAACCCTAACCACAAAATTACTTCGGTACAGGTGTACGTGCTAACTTGTTAATTTTCCAAAATGCTCCCTGAGCCATAAGAAACAACGCAAGATAGTAACTAAATATGGCATCTGCTCACAGCAACACATTTCTACAAATCAAGAAATCTCAAACCCTAGTTTCAATGACCACGGCGACCTCACGAATCATAGCCGAGGATGACCCTAACACAGCACACCAGGATTGATCTACTTCGATGTGCCTAAATTACCAACAGACGAGTCCTAATGAGGGCAAGCAAACGGAACCCTAACCGATCGCATACGTAGCATAGGTAAAACATCAAAAGAAGACAAATCGAAAGAAAAGATAAGAAAAGAGGAGCGCCAGGAGAAGAGACTCACCGTGGTAGTCCAGACGCGGCCGCTTAAGGGTGGCGGCTGGGGGAGCCATGGCCGCTGCGACCGCCTGCTGGCGCGCGTCGCCGTACCTCCAGTATGCGTCGGCCATCGTCGCGGAGGCGGCGGATGAGAGGAGGCGACAAGCCTAGGGTTCGCCCAAGGGAGGCAGAAAGGCGGTAGCTCGGACTGAGACGACGGAGGCGTGCGCTCCAAGAACACCACGGATTCTCGTTATTTACTGTGAGCCCCACTTATATAGGAGTAGGGTTTGACCGCATACAATATTGCGTGGTGCGGGCCGCATAGCTTTTAAGATGGCGAACCCTCGCCCACCGCGAGCTCGCACCCCCATCCTAGAAGAGGATGCCTGCCAGAGCCGACGGGGAGTGCTTATGACATGTTCGATCCCAAACCCTACACTTGAGCCCACCATCTTTCACCCCGACCTAATAAGCGGATGCCCGCCTTTAACCGGAGCTGATGGGGAGTGCACATCAGGTGTTCGACCCCAAACACGGCGTTCCAGCCCACCATCTTGCACCCCGACTGTCCTCCTTCATCCGCAGATGATGGGGCATGCAGATCACCTGTTCGACCCCAAACCCCAGCGATTTCAGTTCCCCTCTTGTAATGGCAAATTCTTATCATATGTTTAAGATCTTTGCCAATCAAACTATTTGTTTGTCACATTCAAAAAAATGATGGGTTGAATCAGAAAATCTAATTATAATATTGTTAATGTGTTTTTCAACTAAATTTATATTATTATGCATAAACCATTAGTGTAGCGATTTTTTAAATTTTTTTTTAAATTTTAATTCACAATCATGATTTTTTATGACAATAATAATAAGATTCTTAGATTATATCTTGTCTTTGCTACTTTGACGAAATGTATATACATATGTATTATGGTAAATTTTGGTTGTCGATCCAATACGATGAAATTGATCCAATCTAAATCTAATTAAAAAAAAAAACATAGGGATGTGATTCGAGAGTCATGACTCAATCCAGTAATTTTTTTTCTCAAAATCAAAAAAAGGTATGCATCTTTTTTCTCATACTGTTCCTTATAAAACAAAACTATTCTTATCCTACATAGATGCGTTATATGTATGAGAAGTTGTTGCCTCATTGATTGAGTCGAGTATTTCGGAAGCTTTTTGTCCTAGATGGATGCATCACACGTGAAGGAATGTCTTGATCATATTAATCGCATTAGGCGTTTTGAGACTCATATTTTGAACAAATATAATACAGATAGTAAAAATTCTTTTGTCTAATTAGTTGCACATCAAGTGTTCAGATACTTATGTCTTAGATGGATACATCATGCATGATGAGATGTTTTGTACAATTATGATAGCTTTAATGTTTATGTTCTAGTCATATGTAATATGCATGCGAGATATCAAATAATTATGCTAGGGAGATTCATTGCATAGTTAAAGGTGAATCAAACGTTCAAAGCTAGGGACGTTTTCGGCTTCAAAACTTCGTCGGTTGAGAAGGAGAAAGACGAGAGCCAAAGATGGCTCGTCCCAAGTAGATGGTTCGTAAGTCCATATGGGAGGGAAGGCTCCTAAGAAGCCTCGTCGCTATCACCCTAGGACTTGGAAGTATCAAAAGAGCACACAACTTCTCTTGCAATGCGGCTCGCATTGCAAGAGGCTGGGGGTTGTTTGAGGACGTACATTTGTGTGATATCCATGCCGATAGACGTTGGGTCAGCTCAGAGAATCTATGGGGAAATTGCTTGAGATGGCTGCTATCTTTGGTAGCTTAGGATGCTCTATTGCTACAGTAACATATCTATCTATTTATTTATGGGATTAAAGTCCATTTTAGCCCCTATGATATTAGTCATAGATTACTTAAGTCCTTATGATTTACTTAACCCATACATTTTAAAAAACGTGACATATAGATCCCTCCTGTCAAGTCTGAGTTAATAGTTATTAGAGTCTACTTACGTGACATATTGACTCATAATAAACTATTAATATAATAACAAGTATAATTTAAGTTTAAAAAAATGTTAAGATATATTTTAGTACATATGATTTTGGTCATGGACCACTTAAGCCCTTATGATTTATTCATGTCTAAAATAACTCATATATTTTAAAAAACATAGTATATAAGCTCATCTCATCAAGTCTGAATTAACAGACATTAGAATATGCTTATATAATATGCTCGCTTATAATAAACCATTAATACAATGACGTATGTAATTTAAGTTTTAAAAAAATTTGAGACATCCATCAATGGCGGGAGGAGATATCATCGGGGAAGTTGTTAGTATAGGTGCCTTATAAGATAATCACGTGAGTGATGGCACCTACGATATGCTGCAACAATCTTTTTGCTTATTATTACTGATATTTTATCACATATTATATGAATGTATATTATAATGTCCTTGGATCTTTGCAATGGGAATCGGATTGTGATAAGATCACGATATTGAAATTGATTCACCTTTAAACACATACATTAAATCATCTCAGTCATAGGTTACTCGAGAAGGATATCGAGATAATCGGATAGACCGATGCACTGTATACTCATCCATATAATGAAGGCGACTAGTCTCATAGTCGCTCGTGTGAAGATACTAAAGGTAAAGTGCAGGTGCTCATTGGAGAATGAGTTCACTAATTGATCCACTTACAGAATAATGGATGGTTAATGATACTTAATGTCAGACAGTGATTCCGTAGTCCTAGTTGTATGTCTGACCCTTAAACTTAAGACACCAAAGATGTCTTGTATGAGTACTCCATTCTTTGATGTCGGACTTTCAGGTTTGAAAGTTCTAGATCTGCTATAACCGGTTCTCGGGAATGACAGCCAACCTTACGAAGGTAATTGAGTATCAACATAAGATCATCACTCTCGGTATCATAAGAGGCATATCTCATGTATGCTCACTTAAACAAAATCTCATACTAGGGTCATTCGGATTGAGAGAGAAAGAGTTCTCCGGGAGAATCCGATTAGAGCGAGACTCGGACAAGATTCTGTATAAGCTTGACATTACCATGCCCAATATATAATCTCTAGGATATTAGATGGATAAGGGACTATAGATACATAGTAACCGAGGACAAACATGTTTGATCGATTAGATCCTGTGTATCGTTTGGGGACTATAGCATAATAGCCTAGTACGTCCATAGTCGATAAGTTGAGTAAATTATTATAGAGATAATAATTCACTGTGTTATAAGAAGTTCTGAGTTAGAATGAGTTCTGACAGGATCGACTCACAGCCAACTCGATATTGGGCCTAAAGGGTCACACACATATAACAAATGGTAAAACGAGTAGAGGTGCAGATCTGAGATATCCATGGAGCCCCTAGTTTGCATCCTATAGATAAGATCCAATAAGATTATGTAATTGGATAGAGATCCAATATCCAATAAGAATATGATTCATTAATGGGTTAAACTATATGCACCTTTATAAATAGGAGAAACCTTACAATTCATAGGCTAGAACTTCTAGGGGTCACCCCTCCTATTCTCCTCAACCCTCTCTCCTCCTCTTTGGCTTCGGAAGCCTTGTAGTGTGCATAGAGAGAGATATCCCATAGCGATTTGAGGTGCATCATCACTGCGCCTATCGTGTAGATCATCTCTAGAGAGAAGTATGCGAGTTCTCCTTCATCCTCTCCATTAGATATGGAAATTTCAAGGATATACAATCTCCCTAAATAATACTTCTCACGTGATATGTGCGATTTTTGATTTTATGATTTTCTTGCGCACCAATCGTCGCACAACAACAAATTATTTAACTTTGGAAAATCTAGTTTTGTTTTTGTTTTTGTTTTTGTTTTCCGTTCCACATGAGATGTCGATCCGTGATTTTTAAGCAGAAGCGACCACTAGCAATAGCACCAAGCCGCTACTGCCTAGCAAGGCATCGTTCGCACGCAGCTTCTGTAGTGCTGACGATGAGCTTATGAGCTTTTAGTCTTGCCTCAAGTGGATGTGCGCCGATCAATTCGACACTATGTACGTAGTGGTCTCGTAGTCTCTCTTCCTCCTCCTAGGCATCTTCGTCCCCATCGCCTCCCATTTTCATCCTCTCTTACTCCCTCATCCACCACACCTACGACGTGGTGGTGGTTTAGTTTTCCCTCACTTCTGCCTCCAGCCTCTTTTACCTTTACCTCTCTGTCTTCGTTTGTCATTACGGCCTCCATCGCTTCCTCTTCCTCAACAATATAGATCTTAATCATTTTTAAAATTTTAATTATATTTATTATTATATTTATAATTTATTGTGAGTCCACGTATACAAAGTCTAACGTCTGTTAACTCAGACTTGACGGGAGGGACTTATACACTATATTTTTGAAAATGTATAGATTATTTTAGGCATAAGTAAATCATAAAGGCTTAAGTGGTCAATGACAAAAACTACATGAGTTAAAATGGACCTTAATTATTTTTTAAATTTAAATTACATGTGTCATTATACTAATGATTCATTGTGAGTTAGCATGTCACATAGACTCTAATATTTGTTACATTAATCTTGACGGAAAGAATTTATATGTTATATTTTTTTAAATATAATAATTATTTTAGACATGAGTTAATCATAATAGTTTAAATGATCGATGATCATGATCATAAAACTTTATTCTAATATAACGACGAGTCTTTAAAAAATAAAAAAAAAAGATTTTAGAAGGATACATAAGATATATTAGACTGTTTGCTCAGTCAAGATGATTTAACTGATTTGATTGAGTAGATTATGTGGTGAGTGTGGTGGATTAGAATTTTTACCCATGGAAGTGGACGATCGCATCATGTGTCGACCCAATTCCATTTTCGGCTTCAGTTCATAAATCTTGGGAATCGGATGATTTTGGAATCGATGATTCTGACTTCGATCTCGATTCCATTTTTTAATTTTTTTAAATTATATTTATAATACCAAAACTGAAATTACCCGAGCTTGGTTACGATTGGGTTTGGAACTATCGAATCGGTACGATTTCAGTTCGAATCAAACTGTGATCAAGGCTAATCATATGTATAGAGATATTTTCCTTAGTTTTGACATGTATATTTTGGACTTAAGGCATTGTACATGTGAGATGCTTTGTGCAATTATACCATCATGCTTTCTAATGCTTATGTCATAAAAGGATGTATTATGCACGAGAAGGTGCTTTATATAATTTAATATTATCAAGCACTTAATACT